CAGGCAGTCAAAGAAATTTGCTACGAGGTGGCTCTGAACGATTTCCATCACACCCGTCAAGAGATTGAGGCTCTGGCCATAGTAAAAATGAAAGAGCTTTGTGCCACCTACAACAAGAAAGACCCGAATGAACGCGATTCTTGGAGAGCTGTGGCTCGAGATGTCTGGGATACTGTAGGGGTCGGGGACGAACGAATCGAAGATGTCATAACAAACGGGCGAGGTGTAACTGACATGGATGACCTAAAAGTGCACATTGACAAACTGGAAGACATCCTGCAAGATGACATTGGAAGCAGGGCATAGGTTCATGTACATAACTAGTTGACACTACAAATCACACATCACAGACTCATCACAGCATTGGACAGCTTGTCCCTATCAAGTCAAACTGTTATGTGACACTTGTTTTAAGCAATTGAATGTTCTTGTTGTCATTTGTAGATTCAAATTGCAATGATCTGCCTGGAAAATATCACATTAGCACCTTGCATCAACAATTTGATCCTCAACCCATGCTAGTTATGCATATGGGTAAAAAGGCTAGCAATAAGTGTGTTTGTTAAAGGTATCCAAACTACAAGAAGATCTCAGAACAGTGTTCTTGAACCTTGATTCATAAAATAAGCTTTTTTTTTGCAATAAAGTATTGGGAAATATGAGTTTTGAGAAAGACACCCTTTAGTTCTTGACTGTAGTATTAACTTTTTTTAAACTTTAGTATATTTTTGAGATGCCATCATGGAATTGCGAAGTACTTTACACTGATTTGCCTCAGTTTACCTTTGTTTTGCTGCTGGTCTTGACAGTCTGAATCGATCTAAGAATTGAATACATAACCACTACACTGCAACATTTCATACTGTCCAGTGAGAGAACCTTGAACCATTACTTGAATTTTGAGTTTCTGAATCTTCAATTCAGTCATATTTGTGCATTCAAGATGCACGGGTGATATGTCCAGTAAATGCTGCAAGGTTAATAGCCAAACTTTTATATTCTTGAATGTTTCAAAACGCATGTCGGAGATGCAAATGACATTTTTACTGTTACATTTTATGCAAATTAAGAGCTTTGTGCCACCTACAACAAGAAAGACCCGAATGAACGAGATTCTTGGAGAGCGGTGGCTCGAGACGTCTGGGACACTGTAGGGGTTGGTGATGAACGAATCGAAGATGTCATAACCAACGGGCGAGGTATAACTGACATGGATGACCTAAAAGTGCACATTGACAAACTGGAAGACATCCTGCAAGAGGTGAAAAAGCAGAACAACACGAAGGACGGAGAGATTAGAGCTCTCCGGAATAAGATGTTGAAGATGGAGCAAGTGATTCCACTAATTTCCAACGAGTCCCAGGAGAAAAACGCTCGCAGTGCACTCATGAGAGCCCGCAGTTCCAGTGAGGGTAAAGCTCCTGAGGAGAAACCCAACGGTGAACAGTCAGACGAGCAGGCGTCTAAGATGATGGATGATGATTCTGCGTTCCGACGTGGACATATGCGGTGGATGCAACAAGAGCAAGTACGCCTCAAGAACCTCCAGCAACAGGAGATTTCCAAGCAGCTCCGGAGGCAAAACGGACCTCACCGATTCATCCCACCTGAAGACCGCAAGCTGCGCTTCCCCTTCAAGAGTAACCCCAAACATCGCAACTCCTGGACCCCTGGCACTCATATCATCATCACAGGTGAACAGGTGATTGAGTTGAAAGTTCCCAAAGAAGCGGTCCAGGAAGAGGAAGACTGCAAAGGGGAGGCTGCAGAGCCCAGAGAACAAGTGGTGCCCATCGTCCACACATACCCTACTCTTCCTAGTCCCATGGGTCAGCGTAGAAGCAAAGATTTAGAGCAGGGCCATAGACACAATCAAAGCCACAAACTCCATGAACGAGGCCGAAGTAACTCCTTCAACAGCAGTCAGCGAGCCTCTGACTCTACAGAGTCCCTCAATTCTGGGAACAGGAAGCCCCCTCATCCCCAACAGGCCTTTTACCAGCCACGCTACAACCAAAACCAGCATCATTATCCACAACAACAGCATCCAACTCAACAGCTCTACCATTACAATACTGATGCCATCAACAAGTACCAGCAGTACCCACCCAATCAGCAGCCGAGCCACCACAACAATTTTTACACGCCACCCCGTATGCGTAGGCAAATGTCTTCCCCCAATTTGAAGGGCAGTCGAGAAACCACAGTGTGACATTGGAAGCAGGGCATAGGTTCATGTACATAACTAGTTGACACTACAAATCACACATCACAGACTCATCACAGCATTGGACAGCTTGTCCCTATCAAGTCAAACTGTTATGTGACACTTGTTTTAAGCAATTGAATGTTCTTGTTGTCATTTGTAGATTCAAATTGCAATGATCTGCCTGGAAAATATCACATTAGCACCTTGCATCAACAATTTGATCCTCAACCCATGCTAGTTATGCATATGGGTAAAAAGGCTAGCAATAAGTGTGTTTGTTAAAGGTGTCCAAACTACAAGAAGATCTCAGAACAGTGTTCTTGAACCTTGATTCATAAAATAAGCTTTTTTTTTTGCAATAAAGTATTGGGAAATATGAGTTTTGAGAAAGACACCCTTTAGTTCTTGACTGTAGTATTAACTTTTTTTCATGCACGCAGCAGCCGCTTGCTTTAGTTAAAAATAAGTGTTTTGTGAATGTTGATGCTTTAATAACAAATATTTATAGGTAGTGTGTATGCTGGGATTTCATAAATTTCATGGAGAAAAAAGTTACGTAACTAGTAATGTAACTAATTACTAATTACTTTTGAAATAAAGTAATCAGAACAGTAATGTGATTACTTTATACCAGGGAAATGGCTATATTCCTGGTGTAAAGCGAAAGAATGAAGAGAATGAATTTGCATTTTTCAAATAAGCCCTTCTGCTTTTTGGTTTAGTCCAAAGCCAAAAATGACCCTTATTTTTACGCAGAAAACACGCAGTTTGATATACACGACAGTTTAAGTTATTGTTTGATAATAATTGTTTAAATTAATATAATAAATTAATATAATAATAATAATATAATAATACTTTTGCCCCGCCCCAACCCGTATTTTGGGACCCAAATGTTGACAGGTCATTATTTTTTGAAAATCTGTACACATACTTTCATTTCTGTGCAGCACTGAAAGGTGAAGTAAGTCACTCCTCGATAATCTTTATTTTGAACTGTTATCTAGACATGCCATTTCCCTGCTCCAATAAAGAATGTTATGCTAACATTAATGCACGGTGCTGCCAGCTACTCTTAACTACCACAAGAGGAGCTAAGGAAATGTATAAAGTCAAACGAACAATGTATTTTTACCCTTTTTAAAGGGAACTTGTCTGTTCAGTATTTATCTATATGCAATGATGATATCAAGTGCCTCCAAAAGGCCCTGTATTATAATGTGTTGTTTAGGGGGGCGTTTTTGTGCAACATATGATCTTTAATGCTCAAAGATGTGTTGATGGTTTACTAATATTGCTATTACATTGAACTGTGCTGAATATATCAAAATTTCAACAATGACTGAAATAAAATGGACAAGTTTGAAAGTGAAAAAACGTGAAAGTGATGTGACATGACGTGACGTGTAGCCAAGTATGGTGTCCCATACTCAGAATTTGTGCTCTACATTTAACCCATCCAAGTGCACACACACAGCAGTGAGTAATGAACACAAACACACAGCAGTTGGGGGTTTGGTGTCTTGCTCAAGCGTCTCACCTCAGTCGTGGTATTGAAGGGGGAAGAGTGCGCTGGTCATTCACTCCCCCCACCTACAATCCCTGCCGGTACCGAGACTCAAACCAGATTTAAGATATCAAACTCAAAGATTCCAGATTTTTAAATAGTTGTATCGCGGCCAAATATTGTCCATATATATATATATACTTAATAGCATATACTTAATAGCATATACTTAATAGCAATCACATTTAAAGAATTTTAAAATGTGTATTAGTAAATTAGTAGCATGATCATTTCATCATATTACAGCTCTTAGGAGGTATGACAGCAGTCAGCCATTAGTCAGTGTTGTGGTATAAGTTTGAAGTTAAATATAAAAGGAGTTTGACTTCAAATCCAGAGCACTTGTATTATCCATCTTGTATAAGTGGGTTTACAGTTGTTTTGACATTGCATTTACAGACAGAACATTCTCATTTGTTATAAAACTATGTGGGACAACTGAATTGTGTTTAAATGTCAGGAAAATATTACATATGACCACAAAAAAATAACTGTTTTGTCTGTTCTATCTGAAACTTTTCATTACTATTTCAATGTATTATAAATGTAATGTAATGTAGTGAAATGTCTGGATGTCTTGGCACCTTGAAAATTGTTACTACAGTTTCAGTAGATGCGGCAGTAGAGAACATACCTTTATTTTATTTTTGTTTTTATTTTTTATTTTTTTTAAATGCTGGAGGGGTGCAGGAAGGGTTTCATGTCTTGGATATTATCAGAAGTGTGTTCTCCCCATGACAGAACACTGAAATTAAAAGTACTTTAAGTGTTCACTATTAATCACATAAAAGTTATGGGTTTGCTCAAATCTAAAGTATTGAACTTCAGCATGTAGCTCATCCTGCAGCTTTTGTGTTATGCAATCACATAGACTTATGTAAGGATGGATTTGCAACAATAGGGACAAGAGACTTGGAGGTGAGCTTTTTCTGCTTGAGCCACCTCACAATGCCCTAGCAACCCTAGAAGCTGCATAGCAACATTATCTTTATTGTCTAGTTCTGTGTGCAAAATTAGTGCTGTTTAGTTTAACTTCAGTCTAAGTCATTAAAAAAGTAATTTAAGAAGTATAATTATTATTCTGTCATCTTGAACTAGCCAAATGGCACACCATTACTAAAGCTACAGTGTAACCATCCTTCTGAAGCTTTATCTCTAAGGTTCAGTGAGTGTTTATCGTGCTGATATGATCGTGTCGTCTCTCTTAATCAAACCTTCTCAAAGGTATATGAGAGTAAACTGCAAGAGCTGCAGAAACAGGTGGAGACTCGCTCACTGGCTGCAGAGACCCCAGATGAAGAGGAAGAAGAAGAGGAGGAGGATGAAGGTAGTGTATTTTAAATGCTAAAATCAAAATGGTCAGGATCAGAATCTAATATTTGTGGTTGTTAAGCTACCCTATGGCATGAAATGAACCATATTTCTAAAGATTTTTTATGTGCAGTGTACTGGGACATGTAGGACATGTTCCTAAATCAACATTGTTTGAATCACATTCCTGTCCTAACCCTATCCATAACCTCAACCCAACCAAAACTACCCCAACAATCAGAGGAACATAGATAATAGGCCGATAAGCCTCTACACCTCTCAGACCCTAGAGTCTGTTTGATTGAATGTTGTTCTAGGAACTATAAGAACATCCTGCTTGGCAAAATCACAACCATCTACAGTATATCACTGCCGTGCCATGTTTGACTGTTGTTCCTGTATTGTTGCAGTGCCCTGGACCCAACATGAGTATGAGCTGGCCCAGTGGGCTTTCAGGAAGTGGAGATACCACCAGTTCACCTCCCTCAGAGACCAGCTGTGGGGCAATGCTGTATACCTCAAAGAAGCCAATGCCATTAGTGTGGAGCTCAAGAAAAAGGTACAGCAAACATTTGTCAGGCATCTAAACATTGAACTGTTTTTAACTTCACCCAGTGTGAAACCCTGAAAAAAGGCTTAAAAGGACGGTCTTGTGCATGTTTATATATGTGTGAATGGCCTCTAAAACAGACAGGTCAGTTTTTTTTACTGCCACTGTGCCACAACATGATGTAAAACAGTGTATGGCTGAGCTTTTCATTGTGATGGCAGTTTACCAGTAAGTTCTGCTGTATTTACATATTCTCAGACAGATCCCTGTTGCTTTACTCATTACCCATCTGTCAGCTTTCAACAGTTGTCTCATTAAAGTAAAAAAAAAAGCACATACGAACAGTTTCATCAGTTCTTTTTCTGTCACTTGCTTCTCTTATACTTGTTTATGCCACTTTTTTCAGTTCACATGTGTATAACCCTTGCTGTGGAGCCTTGAGATAGAAACATTTCTATTCTGATTTATCATGCGCTCTTACTTTGTATTTATAGCTTGATTGGGGCAAGAGGAAATATTTAATTTGTTTTTCATTAGAGTGTGGAAATCTTCTGCTGTATTCAACTTTGATACATTACTTCAGTTTCCAAAAATGTCTGGATCAGCTCACATCATTCATCCTTGTTTATGCCCTTATGTCTCGTTTACATAATCTATTTGTAGGTCCAGTTCCAGTTTGTCTTACTCACGGACACCCTCTACTCTCCATTGCCCCCGGAGCTGCTGCCTCCAGAACCAGAGAAAGAGCATGACACTAGGCCTTTCCCTCGAACGGTGGTGGCTGTGGAGGTTCAGGACTTGAAGAACGGAGCCACTCACTATTGGTCCCTGGAGAAGCTCAAGTAAGCCTCAGCCTGCCAACCAGACTGTGATCTACAGAGTTTTGCTCTTATTTTTTGTGCAATTATTATTTGGAACAATCCATTTAGAGATCCCAAAGCTCTATTTAAAATGTGTTATTTTTATTTTTACTTTAAATGGTGTTTAAAGTGCTTTTCGTGAGCTGTAATTGTTTCTAAGGGTGACATTTATGACAGAAAATTTGCATGGCTTCTCACAAAACTTGTTTCAACGTTGATTTTGCGATGTGTGATCTGAAATGTGACTTGACTTGTCATGTTCTTACAGGCAGAGGCTGGACCAGATGCGAGAGATGTACGACCGTGCAGGCGAGATGGCCTCGTCCAATCCGAGTGAGGATGGGGAGGGTGCTTTGACCGGCAGTGACCCGTTCTATGACCGCTTCCATTGGTTCAAGTTGGTTGGGAGGTATGCTAATCACCTAAACATGTTCATATGACTTGAGAAATGATTGAGCATGTTAAACAGAAATCATTATGTCCTATGGTTTTAAATACTGTGAAATTAGGTTTAATTCTGTGAGAATTTGTTATATTCGTTTGTAAAGAGCTGCTCTCAGAGGGAGCCCATAAATCATTCACGACATCTTTGTTTAATCATTTACACGGTTATTTTTCTCTGTATATTCAAATCACCTTTTTTATTCACATGATTTTTTGTTTTTGTTTATTTGTTTTGCATTGTTTTCCCAAATTTTTCTGTGCTTGTGTTTTGCTGTATGCTGATGTAGATTTTTTTAATGCAATGTTTTTATCCATTTGTCTTTATTTTAAACATTCATTTCATATGCAGATTGTTTTTTTTGTTCCTCTGTGCACATTATACACATTATTATTTAAATTTTGGGGATTTTTGTTTTTTTATCTTTTTTCCATGTTTTATTTCAAAGATCAAAATTAGAACCGTTTCTATGATGTCTTTTTAAAATATAAAAACTTACTGCCTTAATAGAGTAAAAAAAAAAGATGCAATTCATTATTGTCTGTATTATGTACCTGCTATGTATTGTTTTCTATTTTATGTCTAAAGTCATGGCCCTTAAATGTGGCTAATTTAAATAATCCTGTAAACACTTGCTTGTGCCTGCATCCTACCCACGCACCTTTTTTTTAGCTCACCTATTTTTCACGGCTGTGTGAACGAGCGTCTGGCCGACCGCACTCCCTCGCCCACCTTCTCCACCACCGATTCTGAGATTACTGAGCTGGCCGATGAAAGGCAGAGCGAGATGGAGGACTTCATGGATGACGAGGCTTTAGTGGACGACACCAGCTCAGATGCTGGGACCGAGGAAGGCTCTGACATCTTCAGCGATGGGCAGGACCCCTTCTATGACCGTTCCCCGTGGTTCATCCTGGTGGGCAGGTTGGTGGCGGCCACTGCTCAGGGGGAAACCTGAAAAATGAGGGCTGGAAAGAGAGAGAATGAATGACAAAGAGAAATGGAGACAGTTGTGTGGCTCAGTGTGCAGCTGTTAATGATTTAAAGATAGATCCATTGAAAATGAAATAAACTGAATACATTTTCTAGTAATGTGAGATCAGATCTGATCTAGGAAATGGCTTGCACGGGTATAACAGATACCTCCTCCAGTTCTCCACAGCCTACATTTAACCTCCATCTGTCTGGTTTGGTTTAACATTAGTACTCTAAACATTAGTACACATTTGTGTTTGTTTTCATCCATTGTATTTATTTTAATCGGGCTGTCAATCGATTCAAATGTGTTATGGTTAGCATTCAGTTCCTTTTTAGGCAAGAAATCTAATACAAAGAAAGAAATGCAAATGTAATAATAAAATTCAATAATATAACCATGTTCTCAGCACTTAATGGACTTAATCTTACATATGCAGAGTTTTAGCCACCGGCCTGCCACATTTGTTCTCTGCTGGAGTTCACATTAACATTTTTATGAACGATAGTGTTTTAGTTATGGGTGATATTGCACTTAGCCTCAATGGTAATTAAATTTCACCATACAAGAATGCAAATGACTTTTGTTAAACATCCCGTCTCCCATAAAGAATGACTTTCTCCATTGACTGAGAATCAAATTCTCTGCTAAGGGTCTATTGTGAATGTATGTCTAAGACACAGACACTTGAACACAAGGAATGCTCAGATCAGTTTTTAGAAGTCAGACAAAAATGTAAACCTTGATATTTTAATCGGGCTGTCAATCGATTAAAATGTGTTATGGTTAGCATTCAGTTCCTTTTTAGGCAAGAAATCTAATACAAAGAAAGAAATGCAAATGTAATAATAATAAAATTCAATAATATAACCATGTTCTCAGCACTTAATGGACTTAATCTTACATATGCAGAGTTTTAGCCACCGGCCTGCCACATTTGTTCTCTGCTGGAGTTCACATTAACATTTTTATGAACGATAGTGTTTTAGTTATGGGTGATATTGCACTTAGCCTCAATGGTAATTAAATTTCACCATACAAGAATGCAAATGACTTTTGTTAAACATCCCGTCTCCCATAAAGAATGACTTTCTCCATTGACTGAGAATCAAATTCTCTGCTAAGGGTCTATTGTGAATGTATGTCTAAGACACAGACACTTGAACACAAGGAATGCTCAGATCAGTTTTTAGAAGTCAGACAAAAATGTAAACCTTGATGATGTCGAAGCTAAGGGTTCTTTAAAAAAATATGATTGTTGCAATACGTTGTGTTAATCCCATCTGTTAACACATTAACTTTGATTTACCCCAGTTTCTTTATTTTTATTAACTTATTCATTTATTGTGCTTGTATATGAAAATATTAAATTGTGTTCATTTGTTTAATGTCTTTATTTAATTTTGTCTGTTCTTTTTTTTCCTTTTAATATGAATTTTCATTCGGTGTACTTAAGAGCTGTTATTTATCAGTCAGCTATACAAGAGAGAAGGATAGAGGAGGAGAGAGGCAACATAGTCTGGATCGATGCAGAGGCGTAAATGGACCTGCGTCATTGTGACTTCACCGATGCGCTACAGTGATAGCTCTCCTCCATCTTGGCCTTGAGGCTGCCTACAGGGGGAGGAGGAGCTCTTTGACGGCAAACAGCTCCTGAAATTCAGACTATGTGTGCCCCCTAGCCTCTGAAAACATCAAATATTCTAATACAGTCTCTCTCGCAACAAACCAATACATTTTTTACATGAGTTATTTGGTTGCCCTTTTTTTTCTTTGGCATTCAGTTTCAAGGTTGACAAATTTGTTTTCTGTCTATTGTTATTTAGTGCCATGTTTTGTTTGCGTCAGCTCAGTGAAAGTGTCTTAACACATCATATCCATTATTCTCTGATGGTGTTAATCAGGGTTATGGAGATGAGCCCGTGGCCCTGCAGTGAAAGGAAGGGACTGTGTGTAACACTGCTAGGCTGTTTTTAAACATCTCTTGTACTCTCCATACTATTACATATGGTACATATGGTGCATGAGACTGTCAGGCGGCGATGACTCTCAGGGCAGTACTATAATTGCCATTCTTTTTCCTCCAGAGCCTTCGTGTACCTGAGTAACCTGCTGTATCCTGTGCCTCTGGTGCACCGTGTCGCTATAGTAACAGAGAAGGGAGAAGTTCGAGGATTCTTGCGAGTGGGGGTCCAAGCCATCGCTGGTGAGCGCTGCCCTATATTAATGAATGAATTAAGGCTTGGCTCAGATTTAATTAAGCACAGTTGATACTTGTGTCCTAATTCTTTGGTATTTGTGTTTTTGTAGCCGATGAAGAGGCTCCTGATTATGGATCTGGTGTGCGTCAGTCGGGCACTGCTAAAATTTCTTTTGACAATGAGTACTTTAAAAAGGTATGAGTCAGTCCAGCAAGCCTCCCCCCCCTCTATCTATCTATCTATCCATCCATCCATCCATCCATCCATATCCATCCATCCATCCATCCATCTATCCATCTCGCAAAAACTATTCATCTCATCTGATAAAAGAGTTTTAATTCCAAACACCGACCCAGCTAAATTGTTAACATTTGAAGTTTAAACATCTTGCCTCGGGTTTGACATTTGTACTAGTTTCTTCAAGGTTTCGGTTGTTGAGACATTTTTGTGATCGCTGCCTTTATCTTTTTATTTCCTTTCTTTATTTCTTCCTCTCTCTTACACCATCCAGAGTGATTTCTCCTCTGTGGTCATGACCCGCTCTGGCCTCTCTTTGGAAGAGCTGCGTATTGTGGAAGGTCAAGGTCAGAGTTCGGAGGTCATCACCCCTTCAGAGGAGATGAACAGAATAAATGACATGGGTGAGTGTAGATGCACAGGCCAGCTGGCAGCCTCTGAGCTCTGAACAAAACCGCTCCGTCCGAGTGAAAATAAATGCTTACACATCCAGACGATGCTGTTGTGTTTTGCTATGTCGCTTTTGATTTACACTGCCTCAGTGACCTGAAAGCTTTGGGACCAAACTGATTCTTCTAGCAGGTTTTAACAGGTCAATAAAAGAAGACCATGGAAACAGATTTATGGTGTCTCTGTTATTAAAACATCAAATAATATAAAGTAACTATCAACCTGTTCCAGTTTGCCTGCATTTAACACCCTCTAATAGTGGTGATAAAAAGCGTAATATAAAAATAAATGTAACTGCATTAGGTTCTATATAAAATTGTCATATAAAATAAAATGCTTGATTTAGATTATTTATATAGATTTTTTTTATAGAATTAGATGATTCTACACAGTAGGAAAAAAATAGAGAATTGTTGACCAAGAAAAACAAGATTAACATTTATGCATTTAGCAGAGATCAATGATTTCATATAGATTGAGTGTATTTTTTTTTTTTATAATATAGAATTGTTATAGCATTAGATGGTTCTACACAGTGGAAATAGGTTTTGCCAAGAACAAAATGCAAGGAATGCCCAAGAAAATCAGCCAGCATCAACAATAAAATCAACAATTTCACATGAACTGTTTAGAGATCCATTAACAAAATCTGATATTAATGAATGTGTTTTGTGTCTAAAAGACTTAAAGCTTGGGAACGTGGACACCAAACTGGGTGACAGTTTGGCAGAGCATCTGGAAGTGGGCAGTATTTTCACTTTCCGCGTCACCGTTCTGCAGGCGAGCAGCATCCCGCCCGAGTATGCAGACATCTTCTGCCAATTCAAGTGAGTCAGTCTGTCTCTATGGCAACCCTTCGTTCTTGTCTCATTGGTCTTTATTCAGACAGAGCACACGCACACCTCCACATAAATCACGCAATCGCACAGTCACGCTTCTCTCAGTAATCCTGTCTCATGCTGCCAACAGTTTCCTCCATCGTCACGATGAGGCGTTCAGCACAGAGCCCCTGAAGAACACAGGCAAAGGTGCCCCGCTGGGCTTTTACCACGTACAGAATGTAAGTGTTGAAAGCAGTGAGAGAAACAAGCTTTTAAGGAGGAAATTGAACATTATGGTGGCATAACCGATCCAGAGTTGCTCTCATTTAAGTATTTTATCAGGCTAACTGCGTATGCAGAATTATGCCTCATTATTACACATTGTCAGGCAAATACGCATGTGTTGTCAACTTATTTATCCGGTTTTCACATCCAGATCTCAGTGGAGGTGACGGAGTCCTTTATTGAGTACATAAAGACAAAGCCAGTTGTGTTTGAAGTGTTTGGCCATTACCAACAGCACCCACTGCACATCTATGGACAGGAAGTAGTCAGGTAACAACCTGTTGTCCAGTATCACACATTTGATAAACATAATCATATGTTTAGCTTGAAATCATTCAATATTTTGAGGGCCATTTACATTTCAGGGCCATAACCACATTAAGGCTGACTTTTCTCTAGTATTCAAATTTGTCAAAGGTATTTGTCAGTGACTGATGTTATAAAATTTTACAGTTGTCAAATATGAAAATTAAACATTTTATCTTTTATAGTTTTTTACAGTGCTGTAATGTTTATTTTTGTTTCAGTCTTGGTTTAAGTGATTTTAGTACTTCAACCTAAACTAATTTATTTAGGTTAGTTGCAACATTTCTAATTTTCGTTTAAGTCTTTCAAGTTTAAGTTTTTCATCTAATATTTATATATTAATTTATTTCAATTATAAATCGATTAATAGATTGCCTAGTTAACAATAACAACATTACATTGTACTTTAACTTATTCAGTTTTGACAGGAAAATAGCCATTGATGCTGATATGGCATAAAAAAAATAAATAAAATGAAATAAAGGAATGACAGGAAAGCTTTTAAAATGTTAAATGTCCAATGTAAGTTCTATCAACACATTTACTTATTTCTTTTTTATTGGAACAAACCAAGTCAATATTATTTCCCTCTGTTATCGACATGTTGATGGAGCTTGTTTTGTATTTAAATAAGTAACTGAAACAAATATATTGTATAGTTGTTCTACAGCGTATCTTAATTGTTGTAAAAAATATAGTATGAATATAGCAGGAAATAAATGTTCTCATAATCCTGACTTTGTGGTTATGCCCTTGGTGGATTGATTAAATCAGCATACAGGTTGATTAGTATTAATATATATATATTTTTTTTTTTACATTTCTGATTCATTTTCTGCTTCTCTTGTAGCCCTTCTCAGCCTTCCAGAAAGTACTACACCCCACCTATGCCTTTGTCTAAACCAGGTATGATGGCAACTACTATATAACTCAAAAATGACATCTCCATTAGTCTTCATAAAGAACATCACATGTTCATTAAGTCAGCTTGAAGAGTCTTAAATTTGCCTAAGTAATAATAAAGCAGATTCCTTGAATAATCCTCGCCCGGAGCTTGTATGCTCCTCTATCTCCCTTCTAATTATTCGTGTAATTCATTACATCATTCATTATACAAGGAACTACCTCGCAGTTCACAATGCTGTAATCTGTAACTCTTTCGTTCGATATGGTTATCTCCTCTCAAAAGGGCTCCGGACCTAATTTATGCAGCAAGTCAGTTTGAAAGACGCAGCTGTCAGCCGTTCCGGTCCAGACTGTTGTTTTTTTGATAGGGAACAAAAATAAAACGGAGGCTGTAGCCTTGAAGTGTCATCAGTCCTGACGGTGTATTGATCTTCACCCCGAGCTGTCAGTCTTTTATATCGCAATATGAATCTAGAGGTGCTACAGCTCAGTTGGAGATAATTGGAAAAGCTGTAGAGCTCTTTGTGATTTATATATTGTAGATGCGGAGTGTAAAAAAAACACCTGTTAAAAAAATTGTAAAAAACCCTGTCGTATAAAATCTCATTCAGAGAGCTGTGTTAAAAGTGGTTTGAGTCTCCAAGTGCCACTCCGGAATTTAAATAATAATTAAAAAAAAAACTTTCTCATACAGTGGCCCAAAAAAATACTTGGACAGTTTTGGCCACTTAAATCACCTAAAAAGGTATGAATTTTATAGCTTAAGATAACAAAATATCAGTCCAATTGGCATTTGACAACCAGAAAGTGTCAATTTTTACTAGCATTTTGAACATTATATTTACAATTTCTTTATATTTGATGTAAATATAGAATATTTACATATAATAATATATAATATTATTTATTTGCTTTAATAGTAAATATGTATTTATTATGTTTATTGTATATAGTGCGTTACTGTTTAAAAGTTTGGGGTTGGTACGATTTTTTTTTCTTTGATTATTATATTATATATAATAATATATATATTAAATGTCTTAAAGGGATAGTTCACCCAAAAATGAAAATTCTGTCATTAATTACTCACCCTCATGTCGTTTCAAACCCGTAAGACCTTCGTTCATCTTCGGAACACAAATTAAGATATTTTTGATGGAATCTGAGAGCTGAGTAATTACTGAGGGTGAGTAATTAATGACAGAATTTTCATTTTTGGGTGAACTAACCCTTTAAGTCTCATCAAGACTGCATTTATTTGATCAAAAATAAAGTAATATTGTGAAATATTATTATGATTTAAACAACTGTTTTCTGTTTTAATATATTTCAAAATGTAATTTATTCTTGTGACAGCAAAACTGAATTTTCTCCATTACTCCAGTCTCCAATGTCTCATGATCCTTCAGAAATCATTCTAATATGCTGATTTGTTGCTCAAGAAACATTTGTTGTGTTACATAATATTTTTGTAAAAACACTGATACTTTTTTAGGATTCTCTGATAAATAGAAAATTCAAAAGTAGCATTTATTTCATATATAATTTACTGTCACTTTTAATCAGATTAATGATCAAATAAAAATATTAATTTCTTTCAGAAAGAAAAAAAATCTTACTAACCCTAAGTTGTTAAACGGTAGTCCATATTTTTATATCTTATCTTCAAAATAAATGCCACTTTGATATATAACATTTTGTTATAATGCAAAGAGATTCATACATTTTTAAGTGCACAAATAGTTTTTGGGGCAACTGCATACTTCATCTTTTCCATTTCTCGCATACATTTAACACCATCTTTGTCTTTTTCATTTCAATCCTCGTCCTCACCACTCTAACCTGGTGTCACCCACCCAGACCATACACGTAAGATCGAGTTGATCAGGTACCTTATGACCGGGTACATGCACGGCCAGGTGTTGGACACACTCTCAGAGCACGCCAATGCACTGGCCTCCACGGCCGTCGCCAGCCTGGAGGAAGGGGCAGATGAGCTGTCCCACTTCCCCTTTCTCCCTGTACCCAACAGCCCCGTTCTTAGAGTGCCCAAACATGACGGTTGGTACAGAGCCTCAAAGGCGCAGAGTAGTTAAGATCGATAGTGATTGGCTCTGTGCTGTGCTTTAATGTACTGTGACTAGTGTCGCCCTTCATCCCCACCTGATGACAGAATCCCAGTGGACGTTCTTTGAAATGTAGATATTCCTGATCCTGAAGATATAAAGCTATAAAGGCTTTTCCTTGAGTTGCTGTGTTTTTAAGTGTCACTCTCCCTTATTTTCCCTCCCTGGTTGATCTAGACTGCTACGACAGCTGCTTGGTGTTTCCTTTTGTGATGCTTTGAAACTGTACTGCTAACACAAGTGTTTTTCTTCCGTCTCTGTGCATAAGGTTTCTTGCAGCTTTCCCCCAGCGCCACTGTCTCCCATTTCGTCAATACTGTAGAAATACAGCAGACGGCTGCAGGAAATTGAGTGCCGCCCCTCAGCTGCAGTTTTAGGAGCAAATCAGGCTGTATTGATTTTCCCGATGTAGTGTAGAATTTCTTGTGGCCGATTTTCCAAAGTCTACATAATGACCGTCCTGTAAGCTGATGCTTTGTGTTTCTTCACATTACCTGACTCATGCTCATATTGCTTATCTGTCATGTTCAGCATTTTTTTTATGGATTAATAGAACCTGGCCTTTTTAGTAAAGAAATTAGGCTGATTTTAAATACATCAGTCATATGGTTCATCATATTCCCGCCCTGTTAATATTCTACTTTCCTTGCAGTGCCAGCCACCAAACTGAACACCATCAGCAAGTCTAACCTGGGTCAGTGTGTGAGCAAGTATGACCTGCTGGCCTGGTTCGAGATCAGTGAACTGGAGCCCACTGGAGAGTAAGTGAACCATATTTATATCTACATGCAGGCCCAATATTTTTTGGTTAAAATGGTTTTACTCTGATGCCTCAGGCAATAATCAACATTTGAAGAGAAATTATACATTTATTACGTATATTATATTTCAAATTATACATTTAGTATTTCATATAAATATGTTGTTATAAAATGTGTTTGTGATTATATGAATTGTGTTGTTTATTGTAGTTATATCCCAGCAGTAGTAGATCACTCAGGAGGTCTTCCCTGTCATGGCACATACCTATTGCACCAGGTATTTATTCTTTCTATTTATGCTTTAACTAATAGGAGTATAAATATTTGCTCTTAAAATGATATGGCTACAATTCTTCTTTTGATATTATTAACATTACCTTATTATATTTATATATGAAATATGATGTACTGGAAACATTAAAAAAAATGCAAAAACAATTGACCAGAAAATTTTAGGAATTTATAAAAACACAGTGAACGCATAACATATTGAATAGCATTATAGTGATTATAACTGAATATTAAATTCTGTTATCATTGCATTAAATTTTCATAGATCTTTGCATTGCAATGTACATCATGTTGTTCTGTCTCCCTGTTCTATTAATATTGAATTCTCTCTGCAGTTGCAGTCTGTAAAGCTGTAGTTTAGCTTAAAGATCATGTTCACTGTCCTTAGTCAAGGACATATAAATGATTCAAATTGAGATTGCTTTTAGTAGCCTGTATTGCGTGTGTTTTCAGGGCATTCAGCGTAGAATAACAGTCACTCTGATCCACGAGAAGGGCAGTGAGCTGCATTGGAAAGATGTCAGAGAGCTGGTGGTTGGTCAGTACAAATTTTGTCCTAAAATCCTAAATGGAAGAAATAATTGCTGTTAGCACAGCTGGATTGCTCTATTGACCAATCAGAAGCCAGGACCTGAAATAACCATTTTATAAAGTGTATTATAAAGGCTACAGCCATCTGACATCGATTGTTGTCTGTTGTAGGTCGAATCAGGAATAAGCCAGAAGTGGATGATTCGGCTGCAGACGCAGTCCTGTCTCTCAACATCATCTCCGCTAAAAACTTGAAATCTTCTCACAACACCAGCAGGTATGTTGTGTTCGCTCTCCACATTGGACAACCTGTTAAATCAAGTTCAGTTCATCTGTCTGCTGTCATTGGAAGGTTGTCTGTTTCCAAATGCCATAAAAGGTCTGCAAATGCTCTGCTCACCTGATGCAAATGCATCTACCTAACTGCTTAGAATTCAGGAGAGCATGTTGAATATGAGTCACTGTTGCTGTCAGTGAGAGGGAAAAATCCTGCAGGGAGAAAGAGAGCCATCTAGTGGACCAAACGAGAAACAGCAATTTAATCAATGTGCACAGTGCATACAGCTCTACTTATGAAAATGTGCTTGTTGTGTTCTTTTAATGATGCCAGTTTGCTTTATTTTCATTTATTTCCTTTGCCTGTTTAATCTGAATGCTGATTTTTGTCTTTTGATTTGTAAATGTTTCTGTTGCCTGACTGTTTCTGCTTGTTTTGTCTCTCTTTTTGTTCTCGACCTTTTCCTGCTGCGGTTGGACTCTTGGTTTTGCTCAGCCTTTGTATTGATAGCGATATCGCTAGGTATCAGAACCACCTCATAAAGCATTTTTACCATTAAAGTGCTTTACGAGACATTTGTGATCTGTAGGTGTAACAGTAGCAAAATGATGTATCTGTGTCATTGTTTTTCTGCTTCTCTCTGAACTCATTCTACATGATAGTATGAGTTAAGGTGAAGTATTACTAGTGAATTTGCAAAAGATGATTCCCCCCCCAATGATCAAAATGACATTTCTTTAACAAGAAAAAAAAATTGATGTATATATCAATGGATGAATGTAGGTCTGACATTTACATTTAATAATACATTATACTCTGCATTCACTGTATTACTAAATTTGGCTTATTAGCAGCTGAAATCTGAATTGATGAGTCTAGATACAGACGCAGGCAAGCCTTTGTGCATCTATGTGCCATTTAAACAGTGAAATGAGAACAAGAGAGGGAGGTGAGTGAGTGGAGAAAGAGATGCAAGGATATTTGAGGAGGAGTCACCTGCACCAATCTCTCTGTTTCTCTCCGTCTCAATGTCTGTTCATGTAAATCGTGTGCCTTTGCTTATAGTCATCACTGCGCTGTAATGATTCCCCCCCCCAATGATCAAAATGACATTTCTTTAACAAGAAAAAAAAAATTGATGTATATATCAATGGATGAATGTAGGTCTGACATTTACATTTAATAATACATTATACTCTGCATTCACTGTATTACTAAATTTGGCTTATTAGCAGCTGAAATCTGAATTGATGAGTCTAGATACAGACGCAGGCAAGCCTTTGTGCATCTATGTGCCATTTAAACAGTGAAATGAGAACAAGAGAGGGAGGTGAGTGAGTGGAGAAAGAGATGCAAGGATATTTGAGGAGGAGTCACCTGCACCAATCTCTCTGTTTCTCTCCGTCTCAATGTCTGTTCATGTAAATCGTGTGCCTTTGCTTATAGTCATCACTGCGCTGTAGTCCTGAGTCACACACATGCACACTGCTTCTTCACAGTCTGCTTCAGGCTCACACCAGATCACTAATAATGTAGCACCTGACAACACTCTTGTGTTGTGTTCATCGCTATGTGACTCGAGCACATGAACAAACTATTTAGGCACAGAGATCTCCCAACAGCGCGTGATGCAGCTGGCATTACACCTCATGTTTTTCATAGTGTTAGAGGAGATTGCCTGTCCATAAGCACCATCTGTTAGCTGAAAGTTTATAGGCAGCATTACTAATGTGGTAGCCTGATGCTTATAGATATTTACTGCCATCTGCAGTTTAAAGTCAGCATGAAATCAAAATTGAACCTATTTACTTTCTTAATATTTTTGGTATTACTGTGAATAATTAATTGGTGAATGATAAATAAAGTGTTAAATAAATGTTAAATGAAGTAAAAATAAAATTTGTTAATTTTAATAATCTTTCAGGTATGCTACTGTTTAAAAGTTTTGGGGTCTGTAAGATTTTTTTTCTCTCTTATGCTCGCCAAGACTGCATTTATTTGATCAGAAATACAATAAAAACAGTAATATTGTGAAATATTATTACAATTTAAAATCATGTTTTTTACTGTAATATATTTTAAAATGTAATTTATTCCTGTGCTGCAAAGCTGAATTTTCAGCATCATTACGCCAGTCTTCAGTGACACAAACCCCTTTTCAGAAATCACTCTTAATATGCTGATTTGCTGCTCAAAAAATATTTCTTATTATTACCAATGTTGAAAACAGTCGTGCGGCTTAGTATTTTTGAAGAAACATGATAGATTTTTTTTTCAAGATCCTTGATGAATAGAAAGTTCAAAATACTGACCCCAAACTTTTTGAACGGTTGTGTAACTTTTCATGATCCATTCAATTCCCAATGGATAAATCTTGCCCTATATTTTTTCTTCTCATTGTATATTCTGTTTCTCTCAGAAATGTCTTATTACAGAAGTAAAATGGGTTGTGAAAGTCATTTCATGTTGTCTTTAAGCACATCCACACTCAAACTCGTGCTCAAACAATAGTATACAGTGCAATTAATCACTACAGCAGCAGTAAATATCTAAGATATCCTTCCATGGATTCATATTGTTTCTAATGTATTTCTTCCTGTTCAGGACGTTCTACCGGTTCGAGGCTGTCTGGGACAGCTCCCTGCACAACTCTCTCCTACTGAACCGTGTCACTCCCTACGGAGAGAAGATTTACATGACCCTGTCAGCCTATCTGGAGGTCAGCCTCAACTCTTTTTTTTTTTTAACCGACTAGTTCTTTAGAAAGAGGTTAAACAGTATATAGTATTGACATACGTGTTAACCACTCCCCTGCAGCTTGATCACTGCATCCAGCCTGCCATCATTACCAAGGACATCTGCATGGTCTTCTACTCCAGAGATGCTAAGATCTCTCCTCCACGCTCCCTGAGGAACCTGTTCGGCAGTGGTTACTCCAAAACCCCTGACTGGTAAAAAACAAAAAAGGCTTATTTTATCTCTTTTACCACCAAAAAGGTAAAATGTGTCTGAAGGTTGATATACATAAAAGACTTTTAGGACATATCCTGCATTGTGGCATGCTATACTCCATCGAAAACTATTTTAAATAGCATTTTAGCAAGTCTTGTCAAATTTGGCCTCATATTAGGCCAAAGACTACATGGAATATTGATACTGTTAAATTCATTTCTTATATTGTAGGACCATTTAAAATTAATTAGTGAAGGCAACATTAAAAATGGTGTAAGTGAAATGGCGACTAGTTGCAGGACACACTCCATTACAGATTCATATACATTTTAAGCTGAAATTGTGATATTTATCAAAGAAAATTTAATGGACATCTTATGCATCAATGGTCTTAAAACGTCTTTTCCAGGATCTTTTTTTTTTTTTCGTTTAAAAATGTAAGAAACTTTGCTAACACTGTTTTCTGGTGTTTCTGTTACAGTAATAAAGTGACTGGAATCTATGAGCTTAGCTTGTGCAAAATAGCTGACACAGGAAGCCCAGGTAAGATTTTCCTAAAAATACTAATGGTTTGTTCAGTTTGAGATTTTTTTTTAAATGTGTTATTTTTATTTAGCAGAGATGCATTAAATTGATCAAAAGTGACAGTAAAGATATTTATAATGTTACAAAAGATTTCTGTTTCAAATAAATGCTGTTCTTTTGAACTTTATATTCATCAAAGACTTGGTTAAAAATTTATCAGTTTACAGTTTTCACAAAAATGCAGCTGTTTTCAACGTTGATGATAATAAGAAATGTTTTTTGAGCAGCAAATCAGCATATTAGAATGATTTCTGAAGGATCCTATGACACTGAAGACTAGAGTAATTTGACATTATGAATTATATTTTAAAATGTAAAAAGGAAACGGTGATTTAAAATTGTAATGATATTACAATTTTACTGTATTTTGATCAAATAAATTCCTTTTGAAGACATTTTTAAAAATGACCAACCACAAACTTTTGAATAATTAAATAAAAACAAGATTCGAAGGTTATGATTTCAACTTCTATTTTGCAAAAATGTGTAAAATTGATGATTTTCCAGTTTAGCCTGTGTCATGTTTGTGATTTTGCATATTGATATATTGGGTCTGCTATATTGAATCAATTCCATTGTTCATTTTCAGGTATGCAGCGACGGAGACGGAAGGTTCTGGATACATCTGTGGCGTATGTGCGTGGAGAGGAGAACCTGGCAGGCTGGAGACCCCGAGGAGACAGTCTGATCCTGGAGCACCAGTGGGAGCTGGAGAAACTCGAGCAGTTGCATGAGGTGAGCACAGAAGACAAAAGATCATGATTGAGCAGTGCCACACTCTTTGTGTTCATCTGCATAAGAATATCTGACAGGCAGTGGTGATCTCCAGACCCTGATGTCCATTTCTATCCTTTTCAGGTGGAGAAGACGCGTCACCTGCTGCTGCTCCGTGAGAAACTGGGTGAGACGGCTCCTCCTAAATCCCCGAGCGACTCTCTGTCTCCCAGTCTGAGCAGCGGCACCCTCAGCACCTCCACCAGCATCTCCTCCCAGATCTCCTCCACCACCTTTGAGAGCGCCATCACACCCAGTGAGAGTAGCGGATATGACTCCACAGACATCGAGAGCTTGGTAGACCGCGAGAAGGAGCTGGCCACTAAGGTAAAAAAACTGTACAAGTACTTGAAATTGCTTTCCATTTATAGGCAGATGAGATATTTATATATGATTTTTTTCTTGTTTACAACCATATATTATATAACCATTTTAGTTTAAATCAGTACCATTAAGGTGCATTTCATCGGCATACATGCTCCCTTGGAATCCATCGATGCATTTTATTTCCTTACAAGTAAATCTTTCTCATTACCTGTGTACATCTGCCTGGATGCCGCCATGTTTGTGACATTATTTAGCTGCATCTCTTGAAAGTCAAATTTCTAAGTTGAATGTCTGACTCAATTGACTTTCTATTGCACTTTTCGAAGTAGGAAGTTGGAAATTCTGACTTTCTGAGTCGAAGTGAGCATAGCTTAAAGGCTGGAATACACTACACGACTTTCCAAATCTGAACAGATTTCAAAACACTGGGCATCATACACTTACCGACTTTGTAATAGTCTCAGAGGAAAAACTGGCCGTCATACACGAAACGACTGAGGTTCATACATTACCAGACTTTAAAGTTGTTCTGATCACAACAAACTCACACATGTGACAAATGAAAACAGTATGTGTTCTAAAATCGGCTCAAAATATCAAACATGTTTGATCTCCTCCGACTGGATGGAATCAAAGTCTGAAGCTAAAAAATCGGAGTCTGTGGTCATCATACACTACACGATTTTCTATGTAATCTAGTGTCAACTCAAATCTGCAGACTGGCTCTGACTTTTGGCGACTATCATCGAGTTCTCCATACTGCAATTAGAAAATCGGTGCAAAACTAGTGTAGTGTATTTCAGCCTTTATTCTCACACACCTGTTTAGACCTATTGTTCAGAAGTTTGGGGTCGGTAAATGTTTTTGAAATGCTCACCAAGGCTTTATTTCATCAAAAATTCAGTAAAAACAGGAATGAATTATTATTACAATTTAAAATAACTAGTTTATTTGAATCTATTTTAAATTGTGATGGCAAAGCTGAATTTTCAGCAGCCATTATTCACATGATCCTTCAGAAATCATTCTAATATGCTGATTTGCTGCTCAAGAAACATTGGTTATTATTATCATCAATGTAGAAAACAGATGTGGACTACTACTGCTATCTCACGTTGAGTTGTTCTTTAAAAACGTCACCACGCATGAAAGACGCATAATAATATAATTTGACCAGCCACATTGCTGTAGTTTTAACATTATTATGAGGACATAATAAGATCACAATCTCTATGATTCACTTAAAAGGTAGATTGTAAATGTCTTCAGGATCGATCACGATATAAAATCATCAGATCGCCCACCCCTAGTTGTGATTCTTTATATTTTTGTGGAAACTGTGATACAATTTTTAGATATATTTTTTTATTCTTTCATGAATAGAAAAGTTCAAAAGAACAGCATTTAAAAAAAAAAAAACATTTTGGAACATTATAAATGTTTTTACGGACACTTTTGATCAAATTAATGTATCCTTGCTGAATAAAAGCTTTAATTTCTTTCAAACAAATAACTGAACCCAGACTTTTGAATTGGATAATGGATGTCTGTTAGAAAGGATGTGCGTTTATGTTAACGTTAATTCTTTGCAGTGCCTCCGGCTCCTGACACACACTTTCAACAGTGAATACAACCAGATGTGCAACAGCATCAGTGACTGCAAGGTAACCTGGACTTGAACGATGAAAAACAACCAGTTTTGTATGAATTGGAACATATCCGCTTGAATTAATTAAAAACAAACAAAAAAAAAAAAAACTGTTTTCTGTCTTTCAGTTGTCGGATATCTCTCCTATGGGCCGTGACCCATCCGTCACCAGTTTCAGCAGTGCTACTCTCACACCCTCCTCCACCTGCCCCTCTTTGTCAGACTCTCGGTACGGTTCGGATGTAAAAGCACAAATGATAAGCTCAAAAAATACAGTCTTCTAAAAGTTAAGTGTCCTGTAAACATCTGTCTTGTCCAGGACCCCTGAAGCTAACTCTTGTGCCACCAGCCCCTCATGCTCAGACTATGAGAACTTCCCCATGGTGCCCATTCTGGAAACGTCCTACCTGGCCCGCGCCAGCAAACACGAGTTCCTCAACCTTGTGCCTGATATTGAGGAAATGAGACCTGGGTGAGAGTTTTGATATAGCTGGCACATCTAGTTTTGTTTATTCAATTCTCACAAAAATCAAGATGAATTTGAACACTGAAATCATTAAATTAAGCTGTTTTGTATTGCAGTTTCCGTGAATGGGGCAGCAGGGATGTTGTTATTGTACAGGAATATGCTGGTCTGACATGCCCTCTTGTGTTCACTCAGGTCTGTGGTATCAAAGAAGGGATTCCTCAGTTTCATGGAGTCCCGTTCCAACTCCTGGGTGAAGCACTTTGTGGTGGTTCGACGGCCATACGTGTTCATCTACAACAATGACAAGGACCCAGTAGAGAGGGGAGTGCTGAATTTATCCACTGCCCAGGTGGAATACAGTGAAGACCAGCAGGCCATGCTCAAGGTAAAGCCTCACCTGCTATGTGGAAATCAACTGTTTTCCCTGTAATTTATGTCACCCGAATGCCTGATTTTTGCTGTTGGATGGCTTGCAGACACCTAATACATTCGCCGTGTGCACCAAGCACAGAGGGATCCTCCTCCAGGCCAACAATGACAAAGACATGAACGACTGGCTGTACGCCTTTAACCCACTGCTAGCAGGAACAATAAGGTACACAGCCTTATTTTCCCCCCAATTTTTTTTTTTTTGGATGATTACCTAGAATTAACCTAGTCTAGTCTGGACCAAACTGACCACCTCTTTGAAGTGGTTTTTTTTTTCTGGTCCTCTCCAGAAAAAATTGCAAACATTCAATGTCCCTAAAAGAAATGGCATTGCAAAATATCAAACTAAGTGTCATTTATTTTAAAGGAATTTGGCACAATCAAATGCTTAACTATATAATTTATAAACTCACTAGGGTTATTACAGTTAACTAAAACTAAAACCATAAAAATGTTTCTTATTTTAATAAAATAAAATGAAAATATAAAAAAAAGCTTATTTTAGCTAGTTGCCAAAGAAACAGTTCTCATTTTCATTTAGTTTAACTTGGTGTACTAAAAAAATAAATATAAATGTAAAAAAAAAATCTGAAATAAAATCAATATAAAAACAATATAAAATAACTAATAAAAATGACAAAAACAACATTGAAAATAGAAACTATAAAATAAATGAATAAATAAAACTAATTAAAATATTAATTAAAACTTGTGCGTCTCATTGATACTGAAATTACACAAATACACACACTAATTATGTTATTACTTAATTTAAATAAATATTTATATAGGCATTTATTTTAAAGAAATGGCACAAACAGTTAGCTATATAAAATAAAATAATCATTGAATTATTTTTATAAGTTCGTATTACTGTAATAATAACAATAATGAAAAAAGGTAATTACATACATATATATATATATATATATATATATAGAGAGAGAGAGATAGAGAGCGAAAGAGAAAACTGATTTTAGTTCTGAGAAAAGTTCTATTGTTGTTAACAGATGCCACTTGGTTTCATGTTTTGTTTCTAACGGTCACATTCAGACTTTGTGTCTTAAGTATTCAAATACTTTTTAGGGCTGCTGTGTCTGTCTGTCTGTCTGTTTTTTTTTTTTCCCCTCAAAATTTTCACTGCTCACCTGACTCTTTCTGTGGTTTCCTACAGGTCCAAGCTGGCGAGGAGACGGTCCAGTCTGATGAAGAACTGAACGAGTGTACACACGCACAGAGATAGTGCTCATTTCTCTTCGTCTACCTTTACAACGTACCAAGTGTGTTAACACTTCTAAATCTTTGTGGTTCTTGACGGTTTCGCTTGTATGTAGACCTGTGGCTCTCTTCTCCTCTCCACAAATGAACTTTCAGTTCCTAAACACCAACTGTCCCCCCCTCCCTCCCTCCCCTCTCTATTGTGTTATTGATTGGATTTATTCTGTCTTCAGTTTTGTTCTCTGTCATAACTGAACCTCCTTCAAGTAGCATGTTGTAATAGTCTGTTTGTGTGTGCACGAATCTTCAGAGCAGGTTCTGCTTTCTCTTGAGTTACTCTCGTCTGGAAACATCATCCTTACAGTGTTGTCTGCCAGGAACATCTTACCCTCAGGACAAAGTTGGTTTGAGTAAATGAATAAATATATTAATAATAATAAATATATATATATACGTATGTATATAATATTATAATATATTATTGTTATAATATATTATAATATAAAATATTCTGTATTTAATTATCACAAAATAATCTCTAAAAGAAAATATACAAAACAAAAACATAGCTTTGCTCCAGATATTGCTAAAAATAAAGATTTTTAAATGGACCAAAGCACTTCTTGAAGATGCTTAATTTTCTAAACAAGACAGAAATTGACCGTTAAACCGAATGTTATTGCAGTATTGGCTTAGTGACCATGTACATACAGCTGTTTACTCACCCAGCCTGTCGCGATGTATTTGCTTGACATTAATTCCACATATCAAGGACATAAAACATACCATTAGCAAAGTGCAGTATGTAATCATAAGACATATAATACCAGGGAAAGAAAATAATGGTGATGATCCCTCACATATCGCTCTTTCGGTAGCCTACAGGAGTATTCTGCTCGATTTAAATGATTTCCTCAGTAGATTAGGTAAAAAAAAAAATGGTGCAAAAGAATTACCTTAACACAGAACAACTGACCGAATGAATCCATTTGTACATAACGTTCAGGATTACTGTGCTTAACGCTACTCATGACGAGACATGATGCATTATGGGTTTCTGTCTTTGTAACCGTATTACCGAAACACCATTTTCGGGGCTGTTTTAGCAAGAAAGATCTGATGGTGTTGCCTCTTCTGAAGACCAAACGGTTGAGTGAGATACTGATACGATTAGTTAGAGTTATGAAATGAAGGATTTAATTATTTGTGTGGTTTATTTTTGCTTTTTGGGGAATCTACAATCTACTGAAATCTCAAGTCAGCAGGATCATTAAACCAGCCTTTATTCCCCTTGAGAATGAGCAGGATCACTTTTTAATATTATTGAACATTTATCATGTATCTCTACTGATTATCTTAACTTATTTTTATTAACGTGATCAGTGTTTTACATTATACAACGGAAGGCGAGAAGGGCACTTTTCTCATTTTTATTCAGCTGTTCCTCACTTATTTGAACAGACCAAGTTTGGCCACTAAAACAGTTTCATCACTGTCAGAAATTGGGCCATTTATGCAGTTCACTGCAGTGCAGTGTGCAGTTGCAGTGAGGGAAAAGGGATGGTAATGTTCTGCTTTTTTAGTTTTGTTTTGAAAATCTTTGCTCTGTGCATTTGAAGACGTGCAGTCAAGACACAAGCGCTGAAGTTACCAGGGATTCAGTTTGATGGTGAAGTTTCGGCCATTTGGTTGAGCATATAACAGTCCTCTGGCCAGACAACCAGCAGGAATTATTGCCCACCAGACTGTCACACTGTCAGACTGATCACTGTCAATCCTTATGAAGTCAATATTCTTGCTGCTCATCATAGACTGCTCTTTCTCTTAGCAAAGAGCTTTAGTGCATTTTCACGGGAAACACGAAAATGGCTCGGAAAGTCAAGTCCTTCGGTCAACCAGCCTTTAGGCTTCATCTGAGCCGTTTGATTGATATGGCATCTGTGAAAATGTTCATATTGAATATTCAGATCTGGCACACAGCGTGCCTAATGAGCACTGAAGCTTAGTGAAGGTTAGTACTTCTCTAATTACATGACAAGTGTGAGTTAATGGTACCAATTTTTGCCAGAGCAAAGGTTTTTGGCATTTTTTTTTCACCATCTTTGTTGAGTGGCTTGGTTGACTGATATTCATAATGAATTTCATTAACTGTATTTATTGTTTTGCAATGTATATATTAGTTTGCAGCTCTTTGCACATGTTTATACAACTAACAACAGAACAAATAAAGCTTGAACAATGTTTTTGTTGTTTTCTCAAATGGAAACCAAATGGTTTTAGGTTGTGGTGTTTTTCTCATTGAAGTGGACTTTGAATGTACCTTGCGTTTCACTAAAAATGCATGCATTATCTGATGAAAGAAGAAGAATAGCTTAATTAATGACTGACATGTTGCTGTGCTTCTTATTTCTTGAAATAGGAATCTGACCATGTTACAAGGGCACTTTTTCACATTTAGTCAGTGGAGGGCAGAGTTATGATGAGGCCTGTTCATTTTTATTTCTAACATCAGGGAATATATTTTTTAGAAATAGAACATTTTGCTTTTCCTGACACAGTCACCTTTTTGTTTTTTTTGTGCTCACTCGTGCATTTTTTCCCCCCACGCTGCCTTTGAAGCAACCCTGGCATTACTGTATCACCCCATCAGATGAACATCATTCCCTCTCATTGTGATGAAACAACAGAAAACTGTTCAGCCGTGGCATTAACACTACATTTTTTGTCAGATTGGCTTCATTTTCATACTTATTTTGTAAATATTTCATGTTGATTGGAACTTGGATTGAAATGTAAATATGTCTCCTGTATTTGTAATAATTATAATCCATTCGCTGTATAGCCTAGATGTGTAATGCATATATCTGAATTCTGTGTATGGTAATCTTGCACCATTGATCTGTTTAGTTAATGAGGTAAAAATAAAATTACAACCAGTGCATTAGACAAAGAACGGATCTCATTTTGTCTCTTTCTTTCTCTTTACACAACACTTTGCATTATACATAAAACTTTTACCTATACCTACATTAGATCTGGTTATTTTCTTTCAAAGGCTGTTTAGTTAAAGTAACATTGTGCTAGTTGTATCTCATGATATTTCATTATTTGACTTCCTGAGTTGATATGGTTGGTAATTGTTAAAGAAGTGTTTTTATTTTATAGTTTTTTTCTTGGTCTTTTGACACTTTGTCTTAAAGCACAACAAAGCTAGCTTATTTGTTTTGTTTATTTATTTCAGAAAAAAATAATTGTTGGTTTTGAGTGTTTTAACCTTTTGACAAAAGCATCTAACAAATACTAACTACTGAGATGAGTACATAAAATCACATTTGATATAAAAATAATATGCTGTAAAATGATATGCAAAATTTTGTACAAGATTATATGGGTTACATTTTATTTTAAGGTGTCCTTGTTACAGTGTAATTATACATTGAAGTACTGAGTAATATTAATTAACTACATGTACTTACTACATGGTTAGGGGGTTAGGATTAGGGTTACGTGCATGTAATTATGCATAATTGTTATTATAATAGTATGTAACGTGTAACAAGGTCACCTTAAAATAAAGTGTTACCAATTATGCCTTCATATTTTATTTATTTTAACTGATTAAGTAACATTTACCAAATGAAATAAAGTACTGAGCTATTTGAAGAAAGATCGTCTTGGAAATAATTACGTTATTATAATTATATTATATTGTTACGTTATAATGATATTATCTTGGAAATAATTACATGTAAAATACTTATAATTCTGTATTTTAATCAGATAGATCAGACAGTTCAATACTGGACTATACGTACACACTGCACTTAATACAATAATCTATCTGCTACCACTGGTTACGAGTAAATGCAGTGATCTTAATGTGATGAAATTTCATACGTTACACTATAGTGATGCAACGGTGCTCTACAAAATCAATCGTCAGTCTCAGAGTTCATCGTGGCAAATCTACTTTTTTCCTAATTTACTTCATGCCAAATGCTCAGTACAGTTTTTCTGACACCGTGGGCGGACAAACCCAGTCAGCCAATGAACAGCCTCCAATCTCTGGCCAGAGTGTCTCCGCCAATCACAGACGGCAAAAAGAATGACGCCACGAGCCCTGTAATCTGTCGGGCGTGTTCATTGGGCGTTGCTGTAGAGCTGCTGCTCAGGCCGTGAATGAGGAAGTTCAGCAGAGACGGTGCTGCTGTAGTGAGAACCCTGATCCAAAGTGTCATTTTAAGACGGAACCAACCTTCAACCATGGCTCAGTAAGTACACATTTCGCTTTTAAATTGCTTGGTAATATGATATTGAATTTCTACAACACCTTTGACTGTTTTTATTTTAATGAAATATAATATAGTGTGAGTTCTTGCACATTATCAGCATTACTTTTATCTATACTGATCTATCTACTTACTATCCAAGCACTTTTTCTGTTCAAACACAGATTGTTAACAGAGTGTCGAAATCCCTTCTATGTCATCCAGTCAGATTGACATTTGTCATAATCACTGATTTCAATAAGTTTGCTCTCTATAATCAAATATTATGTATGTTGTTTCTCATAATCTCCATATTCTTGTTTTCACAGAGCAGATATTGCTCTCATTGGTGTGGCGGTGATGGGTCAGAATCTGATCCTGAACATGAATGACCATGGATTTGTGGTAAGTCACTTCTGCAGTTGCATTTCTTCATTTTCTTGCATATCCTGTTCTGATGGTTCACATCAGGTGTAAGATGTTACAACTGTTGTCATTCCTCAGGTGTGTGCGTTCAATAGGACAGTGTCCAAGGTCCATGACTTTTTAAACAATGAAGCCAAAGGCACTAAGGTGATCGGGGCCGAGTCCCTTGAAGACATGGTGTCTAAACTCAAAAAACCCCGTCGCATCATCCTCCTCGTCAAAGCAGGACAAGCTGTCGATGACTTCATTGATAAACTGGTAAACGTCACCATGAATCGACGGGTCTAGTTTGCCTTGTCGCCATGCCAAAGTGATCAAGTAACCCACTTTTTTCCATATATTGTAGGTTCCTCTTCTTGAACCTGGAGACATTATCATTGATGGTGGAAATTCAGAGTACAGAGATACAACAGTGAGTTTGACAATCCAAACTTTTGGTCATCTGAGGTGATAACAGTATTTGATCTAAATGTTCATGCTCATCACAAACAGAGACGTTGTAAGAGCCTGAAGGAGAAAAACCTTCTGTTTGTGGGTAGTGGAGTGAGTGGAGGAGAAGATGGGGCTCGTTATGGACCCTCACTGATGCCTGGAGGACATAAGGATGCTTGGTGGGGACTTAAAGAAGTCCACCTAAAAATAATAATAATAATATCTACACATACATATGTATATGTATGTGCATTGGTTGACATTTATGGAATCTAATTTTTATTTTATTTCTTCAGGCCACACATA